AATCATTAAGCTAGCAGTGTTATCTGCATTCTTCTATTTCCTTTTTCATTCTGTTGCATCTTCATGTTGTTTATTCAAACCTACGTAGGCTCAGAAGAGAATCCACAGTAATGGTCAGTTGAAATATCTTACTTGGTCTACTAATGCATGTGTGGCTGATACTGTATTGTTTTGTTTTAATCATTAAGCTAGCAGTGTTATCTGCATTCTTCTATTTCCTTTTTCATTCTGTTGCATCTTCATGTTGCACTGTTAATGTCTATATGAGAAAAACATGTCATGCAGAAACACAGTTGCAGAATCCACAGTAATGGTCAGTTGAAATATCTTACTTGGTCTACTAATGCATGTGTGGCTGATACTGTATTGTTTTGTTTTAATCATTAAGCTAGCAGTGTTATCTGCATTCTTCTATTTCCTTTTTCATTCTGTTGCATCTTCATGTTGCACTGTTAATGTCTATATGAGAAAAACATGTCATGCAGAAACACAGTTGCAATGTGAGATTTTCAATTTTCACAAACTTAAATCATGAGACCTTGGTGAGTACTATTTGACTCATTTTCAGTCGCATACTAACTGTGCAAGTAGCAAGTAATACTTGAGAGTAACTTCACTGTACATAAATATGCAGCTTAACCTTTTTGTCTCCTTTTTTACAGCTTGTAGATAAAGTTGGAGAAAGCAACAACATGGTATAATGACAAGAGGGCAGAAGACTGATTCTAAACTTACTGTATTATTTATAAAATCCTTTTGAAGAATACTCAGCACAAAGATTAAGTTGTGTACAAAGGAAAAGCTTGTTACATTCTTTACATAACAGTTTAATTTAAAATGTATAGTCAACAATATACACTAGAAAAGAAGCTCAGCAAGTATGCTTCTAGGAAGGTAACTCCAGAGTTCAGGAAGTAAACTGAAGAGGTGAAAGTCATGGAATAACCCATGTTACAACTGTTCAAGACTCTTTTTGTTGTTTTTTGGCAAACATGCTAGAGGCAATGAACCCTTGTGGAATTAACAGAGCCTGTACTTTACCTCCTTATTTTGAAGGTGCAGTAGAGCAAACAGGCCTACATTTTTAAGGGTGACCCAAACTTATCCAACCCTCTGCTTGCTATCCTCAGAGTGCAGAAAAACAAACAGAAAACTTCTTGTGCAACAAGAGATGCGTCTTTGCATGAAGGTTAAGATGACTGTTCATCTTTAAGTGTATTATGACAAAAAAAAGGAAACCCTACAAGGTTCTGTTGTAAACATTTTTGTAAATATGTGGCTGAAATAAAACATTGTTATCTTAATGTTTCAAAGCCAAATGTAAGTTGATTGTATTTGCCTTCCGTTTCGGAATAAGCAAAAGGTCAATCTTCAATAACTTCAGTCTTAAATGTTGGTTCTGAACATGTAGAGCTCAACAGGGAACTCTGGAAACTGACTTGCGCTCCTTCCAGTTTGTTCTCCTTGAGTCATGTTACACGTGCATCCGAACGAGAATGTAGCCCCTTGTCACTAACATGGAAACTTTGTGAAATGTGCTTCGTTCACAGAAAAATGCATTTGGTTAAGGTGCTGACACGAACCCTGTGAAATGTATCTTATCAAAATTTGAACCTTTGTTTTTAAATAGTTTGAAGCTAAGGTTTATTTGTTTACTCTGGAACTACAAATTGACTTTTATTTTTTACAGTAATAAAATGAAAACATAAAATTCTGTGTACGTGAGTCTCTGGGGAGAAAATTGAGCTGATGGGGCTAACTAAAGATCAAGTGCCAATCTCCATACGTTTTGTAACTTGTTGCTTGGGTTATCTTCAAATAACTTAAAACTTCTATCAGTCACAGCAACAACTTTGCTGCTACAGAGATTCTTAGCTAACCTGGAATAAATGTCCCCTACTAATGCAAGGGTCACATTTCTGCTTCTGTTGGAATGTTAAACATTGTGCACTTTCAATAGAATTAGTTATGTAGCAGCCTCACCTAACAAAATGTGATCATTAAGTAAATTGTATTTGTGGAGGCTTTGGGGGTTTCTGTTGTTTTTAACTTTCTTTTCCCTTAAATGTAATCCTTAAAAAAATTACCAAAATGCAATGGTAGTATTTCAGGTAGCTATGTAGTCTTAAAGGTCTAATGACTGTTTAGTGGTTTTTTTTTTTCTTTATTATGCAGTTAAAATCGGTATTTTCCAAAATGACTTTTAAGTTAAGAACAATCCTCATATAGCAACTTCCAAAAGGGTTGGTACAAAGTTTATTTTGTACAAGACACATTTTATTTTCATTACAACTGTATAAATAGCCAAATCTACTCTTCCCAATGTTTAATTTGCTTCCTTCTCAAACAGGCACAAAATGATCCAATTAAAAAAATGCTATTATATTTACAATGAATAGCATCTGAAAAATCAGTGGTTTTATTTTATAAATGACAAAAAATGGCTATATTTGCCTGATGGCATGTGTGTTGTAGTTTACAGACAGGACTAAATATGACTTGTGGCTTCTACCTTAAGAGATGAACCAATTTTAACTGCTCCCGTAGATCTCGTGTGTTAAATGACTAGAGAATAACACTACGGCAGTTTAGCAAACTCGTCTTGTTTGCTTTGGTAGAGCAGTAGTCTGTACTGTGGGAATCAAGTACTGTTTAAAGCAGCGTTCATCGTTTACGTTAGAAGTCAGCTACCTGAAGTTCTTTGTTCTTGTCTTTTGAAAAGTAATGTGATGGGAAAGGTGGATTGCACCACGTGACTACGGAGCTCTGACTGAAAGCGAGTTGCTCGGTAAGCTGAAGTACCTTGATCAACAAGAAACCTGATGATGTCTTTCAGAGGTGATGATGTGTTGCTGTACGTGATCTTTTAGCCCTCTGAAATGCTGGGATGTAGGCAGTTCATCTCACTTTTATTTAATTCATTGCTTTAAATCAAAAGTCAATTTTTGTCAGATGTGAACTGTTGTGAAAAGCGTCTGAGGGAACAAAATTGTATGTTGGATTTAGCGTAGCCTTTATCCCTCAAAATAATGTTGTCTTCGAGCCAGTTTTGCCAGGATAAATGTGGGTGGCAGCAAAGGTCAAAACAACTTAGCCTAAAGTGTTTCTGTCGTCGTAAAAAATATCTTTAACAGGAACATGCTCGGAACATCTCCCCTTTTAAATGTAACATAATTGCTGCTTTAAAAATCATAAGGATGGAACTTATTCTGAGAAAATGAATACTGTAAATATCCTTGTCATACCTTAAATAAATGGGTACCTTTTTCTATCATTTGTCTTTGTGTCTCTTTGCGTGCACATTTTAAGAAAGTGTTTTGACAAGTTTTCCTTTCCAAAGGTTAGGGAGTATGTGCTGTTGCTGCTTGGCTATTTTACACTGTTGTGACTTTCATAATAAATAGTGGCTTTGATTAATCTTAAATGGAAAGGTTTCTTCTTTTTCTCACAATAAACCTTTTATGTAAACATCCCCCTAGTTATTCAGGTTCCAGTTTCAAACACATCACAACAAAATGTGGAAATTACGGGTAGGTGGGAAATGGCTTCTTTGTTAAACTACCTCCTTTCCTTTCTGAGGAAATAACTGTGAAACTTCAGGAGAAAAGGGGCACGTGTCTAGAACCTAGAGCGGGTTCTAGTCCCTGTGCTTTCAGTTCAGTTCAAGGATACGAGCATGAGTTCTCTGTACCCTAGAGAGTAGCCTGATAAGCAGGTTTGCTATTCTGTGGTGCTCTGCAAGCTTGCAGCCCACTGTTGAGGTTTTTGACAGAGGGAGTGAGTAGAACAGCAAAGCAGGGATTTTAGTTGGTTGTTGAGGTGTTGTGTTGGTGCTATGTGCTAGTTAATGCCCTAAAAAACTTATTTTGACTGAAGTTCCAGCCTCTCAACTAACTTTTACCGAAGTTGGCTCTATCCTAACAATTCCAAAGAATCATCACTTCCTAATTTAAAAGGAAAAAATCCCAGCTACATCTAGTTATATTTGTTAAACTGTGAGAGGTATAATGTTAATCTGTATGTAGCTCATGGCCAGTTATTTTCAGTGAACAGTTGCCATTTATTAACCAGGAATACTTTGACTTTGTTACTGCTAACGATATGGTACCACTGTAGTTTAGTCTGTATCAAAAACATGGTAAAGAAAGGTATCTTTTCTCTGCAGCAGCCATCAAAGGAAAGGTTTTATTGGATTGCTTTAAACTTGTTTCCTCGCCAGATTTCAAGGTACAGACTCATCTACTTGTTGCTTTTCTGGTTCACCTGGTTATCGGGCTGGAAAGTAGAGTCCATGTCCCTAAACCAAATGTAGTATGTATGTCTCCCTTCTGTCTCTTCAGATGTCACTGCCAACCCTTGGACTCCTGTCTCTTATTTCTCTGGCTGACATGTCCTGGCTTGCTTTGGCTGTTACTTCTGCCCCTCAGATTGCCATTACCAGCTATGACAGCACTAGCATGCCATTACCAGACCAACAGCCAGCAGAATTTGGCCTTTGCAGCCTGTTTGTTCTAAGCTTTACCCCTCTAGTATTGGTCTTGGCATATTAAAGCGTCTTTCAGAAGACTTGGATCTCATGCTCAGTCCGACAAAGAGATTCTGCAGCTGCTGTAATCCCTCGCCAAGCCTAATTTCAGCACAACTATGCTAAAGCATCCTCCTTAAATATGTAACAATTTACAGAAAAATGACAGGACTGATGTGGAGTAATTTGGTGTGGAATTCATTATCTCAAACTAAGTGTTATGACTGACAATTTGGGATGTTGCTCAAGATCTATTTATAGGAATGCATTTATGTGGTTTTTACTGCTCATTAATGTGCCTAGTTTACCTGCCGAAGTAGCGCATGTCTGGAGGGATACTTGCTGAAAAGCATGTGTATTCCTGTATACTTTCTAGCAGATACCATTTTTCATTGAAGTAGTCGTACCACTTTGCTGGGGAACGTAACGGATCTCCTATAAAAATAGGTAGGTCTGAAGTATCTTATTGCATATGATGCCGAAAGCTCATAAAAGCATTGGGTTCCTAGCTGACTTACCACACACAGGAATTTCTCCGCTGAAAGGGCGGCAGCGTTTAACCCACTGTTGGGTGCAGGGGTATCGATCCCGTGAAGATCCAGGAGCCGAGACGTTTCGAACCGAGAACGGGCCTCCTGCACCGTTGAGTGACAGCGTAGCTGACCGCGGGCGAAACGTAGGTGACCCGCAACCTCTTCATTTTCCCTTTTTTTCCGGTGCCCGGCTCTGAATCTCGGCGCGGGTCCGAACCGGCCCGCCCGCGATCAGGTGCGGCGGCGGCCCCCCCGCGGG